TCTCTCCTCAGAGGGACCTGCGATATTAAACCCGAGAACCACAGTCGTGCCGGCCAAAATGGGGCTACTAGTAGTAGACTTTCGCCGTCCTGGCGGACCCGCTCCAAAACGCATACAGACGCAGCCTCGGCCACGTCTGCACCATTGCATCCAGCCCTAGTGGGGCTGGGGGCGAGAGGGAGAACCACAGGGGACAGTGCGCCGTCTCTCGGGATGCAAATAAGTCCACGTCTATGGGGCCGAACTCTTCGCATAACGACTTCACCACCTCGGGGTGGAGTCTCCATTCCCCGGTCCTCAGCCCCTGTCTCGACAGCAGGTCTGCTCCTTCATTCTGGGTCAAAGGGATGTATATCGCTCTGAGGGACAGCAGTCTCTGCTGAGCCCACAGTAGGATCTGATGTGCCAGTTTGCATAATGGGCGCGAGCGCAGACCCCCCTGGTGAATCAAATAGGCCACCACTGCCGTATTGTCGGTTCTGACAAGGATGTGACGACCGCGGAGGGCGGGCAGAAAACTCCTCAGAGCTCTGAAAACCGCCGACATTTCCAGGCAATTTATGTGCCAAGAGAAATTATGCTCCTCCCAGGAGCCTCTCGCAAAGCGGCCGTCCATGACCGCGCCCCAACCTGTGAGTGAGGCGTCTGTCGAAATAATTGTTCGGCGACAGATTGCTCCCAACACGGGACCTTGGGACAGGAACCAAGATTTCCTCCATACAGACAGGGAACGAAGGCACCCGCTCATAACCCATATCAGACGCGCGGATTTCCCCTCGGGGAGAATCCCTTGGATTTTAGCCACCACTGCAGGGCTCTCATGTGCAGTAGCCCGGAAGGTATTATACTGGACGCTGCTGCCAGGAGACCCAACACCCTCTGAAAGTGTTTTACAGTGATGGCGCGGCCTAACTGCACTCCGGTCACTGTGGACAAAATGGACTCGATGCGTGCGGGAGACAGGTGGGCCCGCCTGTGTGGGTTGAGTCCCACACCACCCCTAGGAACGTAGTCCGTTGGGCGGGTGTCAGCATGCTCTTCTTCGCATTGAGCCGCAGCCCCAAACGCTGAAGGTGGGCAAGGACGACATCTTGATGCCGAACCGCTAACTCTCGAGACTGGGCCAGGACGAGCCAGTCGTCGATGTAGTTCAGTATGCGGATGCCCTGGAGGCGGGGGTGGTGGTGGGTCCCCATACTTGAAGTCTCAGGACCTCTTCCCCCGGGCCCGCCGAGACTGAATAACGGTCCTCAGATCCGTCTTCCCGTCCGGGGGGCTATGGGCGAGATCGCCATCTTGCGTCCCAGGTTGGTTGAGGGGGATCCCGTGAAGCGATGCTCGACTGCGGCGGTAGGTGCTGGACGAAGGCTGCGTCCGCCTTTCCTGAGCCGTTGCGGTCCTGGAGTCTGACCGATGGGGGAGATATTGCTTAAACACCTCTCCCTGAGTTTGCTTCGCCAAACAGGCCAGTAGGCGAGAGGGGCGCATCCGGGAGAAAAGCCCTCTCCTTCCCCTGGATGCCCGAGAGGTTGAGCCACAGATGGCACTCCGTAGCCACCAAAGCTGCCATGGATCGGCCGATGGAACGGGCCGTTTCCTTGGTCACACGGAGAGCTAAGTCCGTCGCTCTACAGAGCTCAGTCAGGTCTTCCTCAGAGGGACCTCCCCCTACGTCACAGTCCCGAAGGAGATTGGCCTGGTATGCCTGCAAGACAGCCATCGTGTGCAGGCTGGCACCAGCTCGACCCGCTGCCATGTAGGCCTTGCCCACCAAATCGGATGTCATCCGACACGGCTTGGTGGGGAGCGCCGGCGTCCGGACGGATGAGGCGAGGTTGGGAGAGAGGTAGCTAGCCAGCGCCTCCTCTACTCGTGGCATCGCTCTGTAGCCGTGCTGTCTGATCTCCGTCACGTTGCCGTAGTCCAGCCGGGGGGACGTAGACAGCCGTGCAGAGAAGGGTTTGTTCCACGATCTACACAACTCTTTGTGTAGATCCGGAAAAAATGGAAGGGGCCGACGCGGGGGTGGCGCTCGGTGTTGCAGAAACCGCTCGTCTAGTTTGCTGCCCACCGATGGCTGCTGCACCGCCTGTGGCCAATCAATGTGCAGCTTGGCCACGGCCCGCGTCACCACTTCTAACAACTCCTCGTATCCTGGCGAGGGCTGATGACATTCAGTTTCCCCGAAGTCATTCTCCATGCTAAGCACATCTAGCTCCTCAGAGCCAGATCGTGCAAGCCTCTCCGGAGGATTCCCTGGACGAGGACCGGAAAAAGGCCTCAGCCGTTCCGGCACCCTCAGCGATCTCGTGTTGCGATCCCCAGGATCGGAGCCGCCGCGACGCCTCAGCGACCGCGGGGCCTGTGCCACGGGGGGAACGCATCCGACCATCCTCTAGAAAAAGAGCCGCTCGAGACCTCAGCACCTCAGCCTCACAATGGTCGTAGGCGGCCCCCTCTAGGGCTGCCTGGGCGTGCGACATTCCCAGGCATGAGACGCACATCCCATGGGTATCACCTTCCGTGATGAAACGCTCACATGGAAAGACACACTGTCAGAATCGCTTCGACATGATCTGCTTCGTCTCGACTTCAGGTAGAATGATGGAGCTTCCAAACATAGCCAGAGTGCCTGCTGAATAGAAAGAAGCTAATGTGTCCTATGTGCCGGTGTGCTTATATACCCCCTCCGGTTACGCCGTCATACACTACCATTCTAGTAACACCAATAGGATTGGAGTAGTTTCATTGATAGTTCAGCCCTGCCACGCCCAGAGGCGTTCCCCATAGTGTCGTCACCGACGCAGTTCGAGTTCCCTTGAAGGGGAACTGGATTTAGCTAGCAAACAGTGAGGTAATATTTGCTGAATTTAACAAAATGTGTATTGGATTGCATTGTGCATTGGATTGGGTTAGTATCTATTCTCTGCTCTCGAAAGAGGTAGGTCTTCAAGCAATTTTTGACAGAGTTTTAGTAGTTTTCATTGTACTGGCAGAGTCTGACTCAAATTCAAATTGCATGCACAAAGGAATTCACAGGCAAACAGTTCATGTGAAGTAAAATTACGATAAAGTACAGTATTTTCCTCTGATGTAGTGCAGTGGAAATATAAAGTATCAGAAAAAAAGAAATACCCAAATAAAGTACATCCAAAGTTGTCAGTTTATGTGTATGTTGGTGACTTCACCATGGAGATGTTACATGTAATGAGGCCGACAATCATGTTTCTGTCTCTGAATATGCGTATCGTGCGTACGTTTGTGTGTGCGCATGTGTGTGTGTGTCAGGATAATAATAACAATATAAATTGGTTTGTAATGTATGATCATTGCCCAGGAATTTGTTTTTGGAGACACTGGTGCAGACATATTGATTACCACCATAGCAACAAAAGTACATACAGGCACAACAGGACCTAGCAGTCAGCATCGAAGGATGTGTGAGTGTGTGTGTGTGTGTGTGTGTGTGTGTGTGAGAGAGAGAGTAGTGTTTTATTGCCGTGCCAACTCCTCACTTTTCAAAGGACTGGAGAGTGAGAAGGATCATGGGTGGGCCCCAAAGAGATCCTTTAGAGATGGAGACGCCACTTCAGAAAACACTCAGCCTTCACAAAATGGAGGGAGGTTGGACGCAGAGAGGGGAGTGTCGATAGAGGGTGAAGGGAAAGACTGGATATCAGATTTTCCACGGATTTAGATGATCGTGTGTGTGTGTGTGGCAGTAGTAGTGTTTGATTTGACCATTTGCCAGCTAGAGTCTGGGTGTTATTCCCTCAGCTCCAACAGCTACATGCCGAAATGCTTCCTGGTTTTAGGTTAGGTTTTTTTCCCCAGCCGCACTAAGGAGATTGTTTACCTAAGATATAGGCTCTTTTCAAAATATGTTTTGCACAAATGCTATTTACTCAACTTTGTGCCCGATGTGTTTACCTGAATAGAAGAGTTTTGTCTGTCTACCTCCTGCTCTGTCACTTTCTTTTTTCCCCTTGCTCTTTCTCGCGCTCTGCTTCACTCAGTCACACACACACACACACACACACACACTTTATACCTATTTTCACATCAGTCTCTGCGGGGCCTTCAGCCATTAATTGTGTCCCAGACTGGGACGAGAGAGAAAGTGTGGCCGGGAGTGCTGGGTGTATGTAGTAGAGAGGCAGGCAAGGCTGGGCACATGCAGCTCTCTCCGGAGGAGGAAGTCACTCTCTCATATCGCTGCCCACATCCATCCCCAGTCGTCTAAATTCACAGCTGAGTTTTCACTGTCCCTGAAGATGTTAGCCATTGGAAGTAAATAGGTTGTTTCCTTTAGGCATTTACCTCATTGTGAATAGCACAATCAGTACACGTTCTATTAAGAAGCAACAATAAGGCATTTCCTGAGCAATCCCACAATTTTATTGCAGCCTTACGATGTATTAAAAAAAAAAGGAATGTTCTAAAAATTTCTTTTTTTGGCGTGTCCCTGAACAGTGCTCCTCTGTTTGTTTCTCTACAATAGGACAACATCAAAAAAAGACAAGTTCATTGCTTTGTTTCACTTCACTCTCACTGTCCTTGATTCAGATCCTAATATTTTCCCTTCATCTGTCTTCTTTTGCTATTTTGTAATATTTCCCAGTTGTACAAGATTCAGTTGATTTGCCATATTTATTTAATTGCCATTTCTGCTCAGTTTTATTATGCAACCGTTTCCTCTGTTTGAAAGGCTGCATTAATTGCCTGACTTATATTGATGTGTTTTTTCATCAAGCCTTCCCCGGCACTGAAAAGAAAATGAAATTTTTTGAAAACAAAGTAAATAAAATTGTGTGTGAGAAATGACTCACAGTATGCAATATGTTTCTAATTTTGCTAGTATAGTAGTTTGAAGCTGCTTGGTGTAAGGAGGATGTGACTTTTTTTGCATAATGTCCAATAATATGTCTCAATATATTTGTTGCGGGGGCTTGTATTAGTCAGCAGCAGTATTAATCTCGTGAATTGTTTGGTCTCCTCAGGTGACGTCAGAGCAGCTAGTGATGCTTCTGGAGCTTCTGCTCGAGGAAGAGGAGCTGAGCGCGGCAACACTGCATGCTCTGCAGAAAACTTACAACCTGCAGAGTCAAGACGCTGAGGTAAGACCACACACACACAAATCACACATGCTCAGACAAGTCAGCATATGCATCAAAGCGCCATAATCTCCTCCGATAATAAAAAGTAGAAGGTTTCCCTCTCCTTTTCTATCCCAAGGCACACCGCTTAGTACTGTGTAGTAAATTCTGCTGTAATAGCAGCTCTCTTCTTTACAGCGACCATTACTGACTAAATCCCGCAAGTATTCGCTTCATGTTTTAGTACTGCACAAAGTTCCTTAATGGTACTATTAACAATGTTTGTGAGTGCAGCTGTATGTGTTGGCGGCTGAAGAGTTCTTTACTGTACAGCACCGCCTCTCAGTACAGAAGCATGTGTGGACAGTGTGAAAACACTATCCACGATAACCTCCATTGTTAATACATGGCATGTCTTTAAAAGAAAAAAATGTGATGCATATTTATTTATTATTTTCATTTTTTTTTTTACAAGTTCTTATTAATTATATGAGCTGTTTTGTTGGGGCAGTAATGTATATAATGGGGCTCAGATGTCCTGCTGTACAGAGCCAATTGAGAGGTTATTGTATTGAATCCAGACATCAAGTTGCATTTGAGGACATTTTTATTATTTACATTCCAAACTGAAAGTTTGCTCTAATTAAAAAATTTTAATATATTTCTGTCAGTTTATTACCTCGAAGTTCCAGTCAGTGATTGTACTTGTGTTTTTGTCCTCCGTTTGATTGTAGTAAATAACCTTGCAGGCACAAGCCGAGGCCACTCTGTGTTTGGCCTCAGGTCCAGCTTTAGTTTTAGGTCTCTTTTATTCGGACTTCCTGGCAGATGAAAGCAGATTCTCATCAGCAATTTCCAGGAAAAACTTTCAGTGTTACTGCTAAAAATACGCTGGACCATTATGCACATAGTCATGCATGGAAACACAAGCACACACGTTTTCTCACACACACACACACACACACACACACACCTGCACGCACTAAAGGCAATGGTCCTGTCCTAATGTTAGTAATTCAGAAGAAGTTAATCACCTACGACTCTCCTTATAAACGTGGCCATTTATACTCCTCTCTTTCTGGTTCCTTCTGGTCCCTTTCTGTCTCCTGGTCTGATTGTATTCATCTTCTCACTCAGCTTTGCATCCTCTTCAGAAAACTGATGACTGATCTATGTAAAAAGTTTGGAAGACTGAGTGCAGTTCAGCCTCCGCAGCTACTCACTGTTTACTTGGTTTTTCCAGAGTGGATGAATATTGGATTATAGGAGTGATTCTTCTGAAAAGCGGTTAGTAATATGTCGACTCAGAACGCATTGTGAGAGAACAAAACATGACACAGATTGTTCACCCTAAAATAGAACTGTATTATCAGTCACAGCTGCATTCAGTAAGTCTTCTGGTGCTAATTTCATACCATGTTAATGACGGACTTTCCTGATTTGCTATTTAATAAATTTTATTAATCCATTTTATAAGGCATTTCTCATTACTACATCTTAATCTGGCAATAGAAGCACAGCATGCTGTTACATATTGTTTCACCACCTGTTAGCTGCTGAACATGTCTCACTCTGAGCATCAGAGAGAAATTTATGGTGATACGCTGTGCTGTGAAAGTGATAAAGAAGCTTGCCTGTGGGTTAAAGGTGCTGTGAAGACTGGCGTGCAAGCAAAGGCTTGTGTGTGTGATCTGCGTGAGCATGTAAGCGACAGTCAAAGGAAAATATGTGGTGAACCACCGGTGTGCGTGCAGTGGGACTGCTTTGTGAGCGGTGTGAGTGACCATGAATACGTGTGTGTGAGTGCGTCTGTGAGCCGGAGCATGTGTTTGCATGTATGAGAGAGAGTGCATGACTCTGGCCCACTTCCTTTCATATGAGCCTCATGTGATGTGTGACCCAGTGTGTGCATGTATGTGTGTACGCATGTGCGTGTAGTTTTGCGAGCGCATTTATGATTTTGTGAGAGCACACACACATATGCTTGTGCATGTCGAAGGCCATCTTTCGGTCAAGCACACAGGACACATTCTGTTTCTGCCCAGGTTAGCTTTACTCCTCCAGTGACTGGAGACTTCACTGGACCACATCAAGCCTGGTTCCACCAGCCACAACATGTGGAGACAACAGAAAGAGGAAGAAGAGATATTAAGAATAAACCAAGGAGTGTCTAAGAAAGAACAGTCAACCCAAGTTTATTTGTACAGCCTTTCATCAAAATGAAAGTGTCAGTGGGCTTCACAGACTGTAGTAGTCCTCCAGTGAACAAGAAACCCCCCCTCTCCCCTCCAAAAAAACCCTCTAATGGTAAAAATTTAGAAACCTTGAGAAGGATCACAGAGGAGGGAATCACCTTCCTGGCCTAAAGCTGATGATACACAGGGCAACTTTTTGAGCAATGCTGCTGGGCAATCTTGCTAGTGGCAAGTCCGACTATGTTTTGAACGGATAGCGGCGGTGCGGGGCGGGTGGCGGAGTGGTGGGGGAAGGGGATTGCGGTAGTAATCTTTACTCATTGCCATTGACTGCAACGTTGCCCTGTACCATTGCTCTAAAAGTTGCTCTGTGTATCATCAGCTTAATACGTGCCATTGGACAAATAACAAATTAGGAAAACAATGATGGTCGTGTAATGGAGCACAGATATATGGTTGAGCGTAGAGCTGTTTTTGTTATTGGATTAGTTGATTGACAGAAAATTAATGGTCAAATGTTTTGATAGTCGTTTCATTGCTCAAATAATTTTTCGAGCAAAAATGCCAAACATTCCCTACTGCCAGCTTCGGTGCTTTTATTGTCTTACATGATATTAAATTGAATATCATGGGACACAACAAACAATTTGCAAAATGAAAATAATTCTACTACTACTAGCGCTAGCCCTAGTTGAAAGACAAGTTTACAGTAAATTTCCTCTCTTCGACCCGAAAGTTGCGTTTGGGTTTCCGATCGACAGTATGTGGTAAAGTCAAGACTACTGTAACGTTGCAACTTTGCTCCATACATGCTTCAGCGTGTCTGCCATGTTTATTAAATTCCGACTGTATGAGATGTGTCTGTTTGTTTGTCATGGCTCGTGCGAGCGCAGAGTACGTTAGTATCAGTTGCAGAATTGGTGTATGTGTCGGAATCGGTGGTGGTGGAGGGTGAAGGAGGGGCAAGGGTGCAGTAATAAATGAAGGAATGTCACTGTGTTATTGCGTGTGCTGTCAGAGAGAGGGGCCCAGCGAGAGGAAATAAAGTAAAAATGGGGGTAAGGAGAGGTGCACTAGGCAGCTGCTCAGCCCCAGGGCTCTCCCCAGGAATGTAACCCAGCGCAGGGAACAGCTGCTGGGACGATGAAGGCCAGAAGGGCAGGGCTGGCACCAGAGGGTACACATACTGTACACTCTTGTGCACACTCCCACATTCACGGATATATCCACAGACTTAACTTTGCTTTTTGTCATGTCTGCTTTGGGATTGTTGCAGCCTTCCAGAGTAAACAGAGGCAGAGAATATATGGAAAAAGGAAGATGTGAAATTTTGGTGAAAGAGGAACTAGAAAGCCCTTCTGAAACCAAGTAAACTCGTGTTTATTGAGGAGATTGCGGAGGTAATGCAAGGATTTAAATGTGGCTGTTGTAAACGGATCATTGTTCAGTGCACACACACTCACACAGTAAAAAGGTAGATCCATTGTGGCTCCTTTCAAGAATATTACCTCAAAATGAATGCCTGTACAAGCGCTGTAGAAAGGCCCAAGGCTTAAGCTGTTGAAATCGAATCAGTCACCAAAAATCCCACGCTTGGTCACTGTACTCTCCAAAGGGACTAGTTTATTATCCTGAGTGTGTGGAGATTGAAATACCCACGAAAAAAAAACTCAGCCAAGGGAAACTGTCAGGCTTTAAAGTAGTGACAGTGCTTTAAAAGATTCTTTATCTGGATTTTTTTTTTTAATCGCTCCTCTGTCTCTTTTATCATCCTCTCTCTGTCTCCTCCACAAGAGTGTATCCACGTGCACTGCGTGTGTGTCCCCCGCCTGCACACACACACACACACACACACACACACACACACAGACACACACATGCACACTCCTAGCAGATGATGAAGGATGATGGCTGAGTCAGGGACAGAGCCAGTCTCTGATCTCTCCTGTAACCGCGGCAACAGAGCTCCTATTGATCCTCTGGGAGAAAGGCCAGGCATTAGCTTTTATACACATGCACACGTACAGTAAAAACACACACCTACACACACACACACACACACACCTACACACACCTACACACACACACACACACACACACACACACACACACACACACACACACACACACACACACACACACACACACACACTGCAAACAATCACATGCACATTATCAGAGATTTAAATATAACTTTTAAACATGAACTTTAGATTGAGTCGGTTTCTTTTCTAAAACACAGTTTATGTCTTTTAATCCTCCGATTCTGGATGAATCTATTTATTGTCAGAGGAGCAGCTTCCAGCTTTGTCTTTTTTAGCTTGTCAGATGAGCTGTTTGTCTTTTGTCACTGGCATTGAGGCAAACCTGTTCACACTGTTGTGTGAGTGCACTGGCCAGAAACATAAAAATAAAATGTCTTCCAGAATGGCAACTTTTTTTAAAGAACTAGTAAATAAAAGTAATAGGTTATAAATCTGTAGCATCAACACCATTCTGCTTTTTTAGAATTGTTTTGATAGTAGTATGTATGTGTAAGAGTTCATATTGTCTGTACCGAGGGTACACATAAGCTGGTAAAACTTTCATGTGGTCAGCTCCATCAGCTTTGAATGAACAACACAAACTCTGAAATGACAAACACCGGTAACGTTATACAGCTTCAGACCTAACACTGTGGCCATTTCAAGGCTGATATGGGCAAGTGGCTTGTTCCCTTTCCTTTATTGTGTTTTATATCTTTTTTTGTGCATGTAATAGTTTTGCAAAGTGAAAAAAGCCCGAAGCCCACCCCAAAGGGAGTTCCCATCTCCCACAGAAAACACTGCTCCTGAACTGAAACCGAAAACAGCCGATTGTAGTCCAACCTTTACTAACGTAACCTATTTGCGTCACTTTGTAACACATATCAAAATGGTCGTCTAGCAGGCACACCCTCAAAAACACTGGTGGAGAAAAACACCATCCACCCACTGCCTCCTCTCACCACCACCCTCGAACGTTAAATACCCTTCAGGCAGTCAATGGACATAAAGTTTTTACCGTAATGTAGAGACAGTGCACAGTGAAAACGTTACCTATAAAAAAAAGATCAGCTTTTTAGAAATTAATAAATCACCACTCTTACTTCAGTCTATGTTGCGAAGCTGGTTCGGGAACTGGCTAGTAGTCCTTCACTAGGTACTGTGCACGCACAACTCCAAACAAAGATCACCCTAAATAAAATAATGAACCTGAAAATGAGCATAATATGACAACCTTTAAAAAACTGTGTTGGCCCATGTTGATGGTTTTGTACTTGTCATTTTTTTCCAAAAGTCAAATGTATTAATAATATAATAATATAATATTTGTGTTTCTGATTCCATTAACAGTTGTAATACTTTTTCCTCTTTTCTGGCTTCCAGGTCCGACATCGCTGGTGTGAGCTGGTGGTCAAACATGCGTACACTCAGGCTTACGGAGACGTGGAACACTTTCTGGTTCATGACCAAGTAAATACACACAACTGTTTAACATTTGTCCTGTACGATACAATGAAAGGTTGAAACGCTTTAAAAATACTGATTCAACCCGAGAGAAAATAAACTACGATTATGTATGTTTGTTCTAGGCGATGGGTGTGTATCTGTACGGGGAGCTGATGGTCCAGGAGGACCCTGAGCAGCAGACTCTGGCCAGTCGCTGCCTCTCATTGGTCCAGGAAGAAATGGACCAATCAGCACGCAGAGTGGTGGAGGAGATGGTCCTGTGACACTGGAGGTGAAGTCTCATTCTCAGTTTTCCATTCACTTGAGTGTCGACCATGCTGTGTGTCATGCCATTGTGTGTCCATGGAAATATTCTTACAGTTAAACTGATTCAAAATGGACCTAAACAGAACTTTTTCACTTTCAATTTTCTTCTTTTCCACTTTTATTTCTTTCATCATCATTTCACCTGGGCAGAAATTACATCAACAGGTCTCCTAACAAGCTCATTCAGAAATGTAAAAATATGTTTGTGTGGGTTTATAAAATAGAATCCGCAGCAATCTGCTGAGGGTTTTCAGTTCCTTCGTTTTCAGAGTTCAGTTTGAAATGAAATGCCTTTTAATTGGCAGGTGAACTTTACTTTAACCATCTGTGGAGAAAAGAACCAATAACAAATCAGTACAACGAGGCTCAGATGGGCTCAAGAAATATTACAGCAGAATTTCTCAAATATTCTGTATCATCTTCTCATTTGACATTGAGATACCAGGCTAATTATTGTGATTCTTCTTCCATTTTTTCAGCATTTCTACACAATGAAGACAATATTTCTCCAGCTCATATTTGACCTTTTAGTCTGAAATGGTGACCGTAAAAGAAAGCTTTGTGTTGGATTGATCTTGGTTTCCTCTGCACCAGCGGACAGTCCACATTTGAGTCACTTGGCTACCTATTCTTCACATTCCCCTCTGAGTCCATTGAGTGTGTGGGCGCATGTGTGTGTTTGTAGACTCAGAATGGGGCCTTTTCCGTGGTTTCACAGCAGCGCCATCAGGATGTTTTTGTCAGAGAAGGAATTTGGGAATGTGTTCCTCAAACAAACGAGAGAGGGAAGGGAGAAAAAGAGAGAGAACGGGTCAGCGAGCGCTTTCTGAGGGGCTCAGGGCAGTTTCTACTCGATGTGAGGTGATTTTTATACTGTTGACCCTGAAATTCCTTGGGTGTGTGTATGCAAAAGCACAACTATCCACAACTGAGCTTCTCGACAGTTCCCAAACAGTGAGGGGTTTATTGGCGTCACATTAAATGAAGGGAAGAGAGAAATTTACGGTTTAGACAGACAGACAAAAAGGAAAGGGAGGAAGAAAAAGAGCAGAAGGGAGGACTGGAGTGAAGACAGGTCTCTTTGAAGCTGCTGATCTTTTCATAACAGCCCTGCTATTACTGACATTAACCTTTGAATAATGACAGCAGCCAATTAAACGGATCTTGGCTTGACAATTCAACTCTAGTAACCCAACTATTCTTCAAAGGAGCTTTTAAACAATACAGTAGTACTATGGATCGGATGCTATAGTATTGTGAAGTAGGGGGCATTTTGGGGGCAAAGACAATAAACGCACTTTGTTGTTATTTGTTAAGGGTTTGACACTCAAAAATGTATCTCCTGCTAATTGGCTTTATTCGGCCTGTGTGGCTCTGTTCAATATTACTGCAAAGTCAAAAGTGACAACCGACCAATAATCCAAAACTGAAACATATGACATTTATAATGATGCAAAGCAGAGAAAAACAGCAATGCCTATTTTGGCATTTTTGCTTGAAAAATGACTTAATTAACAATTTTAATTATGGCAAGGTTATTGTGAACACTAACTACTTTAACATAGCTGGTTGTGTTTGCTTCACACTCAAAGTTAGAATCAGCTGGTGCAGATTTCTCATGTCCTGCCTTTTCATTCAAAAACATCTTCTAAAATGAGCCAGTTGTGTTATAATCTAGCCAGGCCCCAATTCAGCGAGTATAAGGTCAAACAGGGCGTCTGTGACCTTAGTCAACACAGGCTGCGTCAAGAGGTGCTGCTAAATACTTGTCCCCGTCAACGTGAGTGACTTACAGCACTAAATCCTTTTTTAGGCCGTGACCAAGCCACTACAAGACAGGCTTTTATCTTCTCACACACACACACACACACACACACACACACACACACACACACACACACACACACACACACACACACACACACACACACACACACAGACAGCTTTATGCATTTGCACAGGATGTGAAAGGCTTTCTAGACAAGTGCTTGGCATCTGGCTCAGTCCTGATAAATCTCTCTGACACACACCCTCACACACATACAGCACACACATATGTAGCGCCTATCTGTCTGTGCCCACACATCTTTTGTCATCATCCATCACTCCCTCACCACACCTCCCCCTTGGAGCCTCACTACAAGTACAGGAGGGATGAAATGAAATGGGGGGAAAAAATGAAGAAAAGAAGCAGTTAGAGATTAATGTTAAACTTTTACTATTGCTTCCCATTGGACTGAACCAAACAAGACACTCTGTAAACATCAATGGATCATGCTGGTCAGCTGAGCTCAGGTCCAGATCTCTCTCCAATTAAAATGATGGATGCACCAACCTCCTCACTGCTTTTTTCTTACTGCACTGTGGGGAAATGGACTCATGTTTTACTGCTCAGTTTGTGTTCCCCCATTGTCTTTTCTTAAGTAGAACAGCCCACCCTATACCCTTTTACACACACACACACAACACATTTCAGTGGGATTAGGCTGAGGCGGGCAGAGAGGGTTTTAAGTGAAAACAACATGTCTTTCAAGGCACACTCCTTGCTCTGCGCTTTTAAACCTAAAAAGCACAACACTTTAAAGCAGAAGGGTGGTCTCTCCCCCTTTTTCTGTTCCCCTCCCCGCTCACTCCCTCGTTCTTTTCTTCCCCCGGTACATGCCTCTGGAATCCCTCTTGATCCGCTTAATGAGGGGCATATCGCCGGGTTAGCCGAGCGTGGTGAATGGGAGAGGAGGAGAGGGGTAACCAAGGAAATAGTGTGAGAGAGAGAGGGGGAGCAAGGATCTACAGGTCTAGTCTTTCATGACTGCGCCCTGACGGCCGGCGTGAGGGAGAAGGAGAATGAAAAAGAACAAAGAAAAGTTAGATATTCTTTTCATTTCTGGGAGCTGCAGGTTAGTGCTGGACAGGAGCTGGACTTGAGGATGTAGTTGGGAGGAGGGAGGGAGGGAGAGAGGGAGGACGAAAAATAAGGGGCAGAGAGAAGATCTTGTTCTTTCATGTCTGGGCTGTGAGGGTTCCTGGCGTGCTGATTTGTGATTTATGATAAAATCACATTGCCAGGGATTACCACACAGCCCTGACCCAGCCGGCTGCCATGGCAACCATAGCCCCTCCTATACACGCACACACACACATTACACACTCCCTCTCTCTCATTAGTCCCCAAGAAACTTAAAACTAAAGAAGACATGATTATCTAAGAGTGTGTGTGATTGTGTTTGAGGAGTTGATGATTTGGAAGTGCGGAGAAGGAAAGACAGCCTGATGAGGGAGCCATAGGGTCTTGAGATGTGGGGCGTTTGGGGGGCTGTCGTAAGAGTGTGTGTGTGTGTGTGTGTGTCTGCCAGACAGGTTTTGTATCCTCTCTCCAGCCAGGCACAGAGCTTAGCTGATTGGTGAACAGTGATTGATTTCCTCTTTGTTCACAGTGGCTAAGTTCTGCACCTGAGGAGAGCATGACCCAGACAAGCAGACAAAAGGGGGCCAATGAACGGGTGTGAAAGAAAGAGAGAAAGGAAATGTTCTTTTAAGTTTTTACTGTGTGTGTGTGTGTGTGTGTTTGTGCTTTTGTGTAGCAGACTGTTAAAGTTCAATCATCTAATGTGTGTTTATACATTTCAGGCAAAGAACTCCTTCTCCCCTTCTGTCTTCGACTGTTTTCTTGCGCCTCACTTGACTGTCCTGCCTCCCCTTTTGCCTTTCTCTTCTTTCTCATTTCACTCTTCTGCTCCCGCTCTCTTTATCCTGCGTTTTCCTCCAATACGGTCTAACCACAGCCTGAATAACTCTCCTCGTGTCCAGCCTCACTTGCATGTCTGTAAAACTTTCCACTGGGAACCTCTCACTCAGTAGAATTAAAACACACGCCTCCTCACAACTTCAAGAACGCTGTGTAACATTACTAATGAGCGCCGCGCTACTCTCTCATTCTTTTTCTGTTCTTCTTTCTCATCTTTCATCTTCCATCTTCCTTCCTTGCTCTCTACTTTCACCCCTGTGCTTTTTAATAACGTAGCATAAAAGACAATCCTGCAGATGATGCCGGTTTGCACGCTCTGTAGTTCGAGCGAAGGTGAGAGCCAAGTACTTTGGGAGAGAGACTGTACTTCCAGTACTAATGAGGCCTGGGGAGACCCAGACGCTGCTTAATGCTGCTGACAGATATTTCATCAATCCGGGAGCAGTGGCCACCATTATCACCTTCATCGTCACCGTCATCCTTCATCTCCACTATTCTCTCTTACCGCAGACACTCGGTGTATCCCAAAGTTATACTAATTCTATACAGTATGTGCTACATACCTATAGTCAAAGTATATTACTTAAACAGTTAGTATACAAAAAAATCAACGTACTTCACAAATGTATACTAAAAGGAAATGACTGAATATGTGCACCAATCAATACTTAATAGTTATGTTTTTGTTTTTACCAGCAACCGCAATTAATTTTAATTTCTTTCTAGCTGCGTGCAGCTCCATTTCCATAGTGCATTGCATTGTGGGAGAATAGTGTCTAATGACAGCACACTCAAAAATAGATGTGTTTAGTATGACCAAAATACATACCAAGCAGGACATATTACAGTTGACATTTCAACTTGTCAGTTCTCGTTTGCTGGACAAACCATGTAACTGCAACACGGTCTTAAAATTACCTCAAACCCAATTTGGCATTTCTGTAATGCAATTTCCTGTTACTTATCGGGCGACATATATACCAATATCGACAATCGCTAATATCATCCAATTATATTGGCCTGGATGATTTATTGGTCAGTACAGTAGCTCTACCTAGCGCCAGCAGTCGGTAGCTAGCCTGGCTCTGTCCATAGGTAACAAAATCTTGCTACCAGCTTAAATTAATTAACTAACACTCTATATCATCTTTGTTTTATCTTTACAAAAGTGTAAAAACAACGAGTTACAGGAGGGATATGTGCTGGACTATTTCTTGGCCCGAGTGCAGTGACTGTTGTCGTTCTTCTCGTGTAACGCTCAACATGAAAGCATGCAGGGAATGTCAAACTATTCCTTTAACTGAACGTTCTAGTTGAGGCAGGGTAACTCGTTAAAATAGCTTAACAGGGCCTGCAGCAAACCAGTTTTCAAAAATTACCCTTTAAGTTCTTAAAGGGCTTCAGGTTTTAGACCTCACATCACTTTGGCAGAGAAAAGTGCCGTCCGTCCCTGGCTGATATGTATTGATTTCTGATCTAATCTCAGCTTGAAGATGCAGAGATCCATAAAGCAGATAGATTCTCACAGAACACTTTCACACTGTGAAGGAAAAGAAGACTGAGGCGTCATAAGATGGAAATCTTGCAGCAATTTTAGAGCTTTCCATCATTTAGGGACGTCAGTTTTACTTTATTAGGACAATTTAGTATTTCTACCGTGGATTTACTGGGCGGCAAGTTTCTATTGTTTTTTCTCAGATAGGAGAAACAAAGGGCTGTGATCCTGCTAAACACCCACTGATAACAAGAAAAGTAGGAATTTTCAACTGGGTTTCACCACCCGCTTTGTTTCTAGCATTACAGAGTGTACAGAGAGAGGGTTCCCAAATCAGTCAAGACAAAAGGAAAAAAAACAAAAACAAGGACAGACTTTTTTAGCAATATGAGGTTTATCATGCAAGTTTCTATTCACTGCCAACACAATTATCAATAAATCTCAGTCTGTCTCACATGTCCCAAGAAAAATATATTTGTCTTGGAACGGTTATAAACAAGCTCTATTTGCATCTTCCTACCAAACAGAAAAAGCTCCTTCTAAATACACTCATCAGCTAACACCCAAGCTGTCAATAACTGCAGCTGGACTACATGCAACGAATAACTCATTTATGGCTTTAAAGTTTAAAATACTGAGCCACAGCAACTTACTGTATAACCTTTGCTATAATACCAGCTAGTTGTAATGCCAAATGCCGATCGCTCCCTAATCAAAACAGTGACAGATGGCTGAAAATGTATTTCAGTACTGGTCAGTCTTTTTTTGGCAATCAGAATGTGAGCCGCGAGGAGGTATTATAGCGCTCTATATTCACGACGACAAAATGGCGACTAAACGAGGACAGATGTGTGAATTAGAAATGAGGGCCATGTGGAGCCTGCCATTTTTAGACCTATATTTAGGGCCTGTTAAAAGAGTAATGACCATCAAAGGCCTGTAAAAAGAGAGGAATTACCATCAGAGCGCGTATCTAAAAGGTGATTTATTACACTCTAATGGGAGGGAAATGGTGCTCTGCACATCAAAAGGACAAAGCAACATTGTATAAAGACACCAAAAATAAACGTACTCGGCCCACACGACCCACGCCGCCTTCTCTTCATGCAACTAAACTTTGTCTGATTGTCTGTTTTAATGTCGGGTAGGGAGCTGTTTTATTTGACTGTATTTCAAAGTATATGTTGGCAACTTTCTCAATTTTAAGTAATGCATCATGCTCCTCACAGAAGGTGGTGGAATGTGTTATTGATGGATTTATAGATTTTTATGATCGGACTCCTGAATAGTCTCATACCCTTTTTTTTTTTTTAACGCCAAGGTATCAATGATTTTGGGTAGCTCCCACCATCCAGCAGTGGTCTTGCTGACGCTGCGGTGGGGAGGTTTCTACAGTGTCAGCCACACCTTTCACCAGCTACTCACATCCAACAATCTCAACAGTTTAATGTGAACCTAGTGTGGTTTCTTGTGGGTTTGGCAAAGCGGAACGCTGCCTGACATGCAGCCTGAGTTGGCATTGCTTTTTGCTTCATTACAGACACTGCATCAAAAAAAAACAAGAAGAAGGGAAAGAATGTGTGTTCATAGGCTGCCAGTGCTTCATATGACAGAGAGAACAGAGATCTGGGCTTGGCTTCCTGTGCCTACTGAGCTGATAATCAGTCCTATGGAACCACTGGCTCAGTTCAGCAGGAACAGGAGTCCAGTCCACTCACCATCGAACCAGAACAAACTAGCACTGGTGTCAACAGACACATCCTTCCCTTTAAAAAGACTGCATACAAGAGCTGCTGTTCTATTACACAATGGAGTAGTGAGGGATTTTCCCCCCAAGATTCAAAGAATCATTACATCCATGGTTGTACCACACCACCTGTGCACTGGTGTCTGATGAATTGCACTATATTTTAAGAAAATACTACTGAATTTTATTAATTTAAGGCATTTCAGAGAACTTTCAAAGTTCAAGGAATATAATTATTTACAAAAACACATCTATTATGATGGTTTTGGAAGATAAAGCTATTGCTGAAACACTTGGTCCATTAATTAATTATGTAATTGCCAGAAAATTTTGATAATTGATAAATCATTGTGAGGAATTGCTGTTTTTGTCTGTTTAATGTGACTGTAAAAGGAATATCTTTGGGTTTTGAACTGCTGAACTCACAAAACAAGCAATTTAAAGATGTCCCTTTAGTTTTCTGGGAAATTATAATGGACACTTTTACTATTTTCTAACATTTTATGGACTAAAAAATTGTTATTGTTGTCACTGTTATTGCAGTCCTACATTTATGTATTCATATATATCAGCAGATTAATGTTTGCAGTAAGATGTTAGAAATAGTGTCAGCATTACATAGTTTGTCCACTAGAGGGAACAGGCAAGTTTATTTTTCAACTCGTGAAATCTTTAGTAACCAAATTTAAGAGAGATCAAAGATTTTCATATTCTCAAATACTGGTATCTGCCTCAAAAACCCAGCATTGTCAGGTTGTGGGTTATTTGTCTGGACTGAACACATCATTCTGTGTTTGCCTTCACATCAGGTAGATGCCAACAGTTTACCCAGAGGAGATCTAACAAATGTTCTGTAATGCTCCAATATGTACGTATCTTTCTCTTCCAGGTTGCTGACTACAAGCGGAGATGACAGGAGTCTGGCATGAGGGTCCAGCACTTACCTCCTCTTCCTCTGTACGAGAGGGGACCCTGCAGAATCGCTCACCAGAAGGCAGTGCTCTTATTCTACAGCCAAGGACAACTGGCAAGGTTTAGAGCGCAGCAGTACTGTTCATTCAAGTCTGAAGAAATGGCTTGTGTGTGTGAACCAGTAACGATACAAACTGTTCCTAGTGGGAAAACAATGTTGTTGACAACATTATTGCTGTAGTAAGAGAAGAATTACATCATTTCACCTGTTTTCAGATAGCCGGCTGATGGGAAAAGAGAGATTTCTGCACCTCCATCCATGTTGAAGAGCCCGAGCTTGTGTGCGCGCGCGCGCGTGTGTGTGTCCACGTCTGTGTGTGTGTGTGTGTGTCCACGTCTGTTTAGTCTAAAGCCATGATCTGCTTCTCCAGAGTTTAGACTGGAAATAGTCTCAGGCAAATCATGTTTTTCTACATAAAAAATGACTTCACTCTGGTCTGTAACAACACTGGAAAATGTACAACCAGGGCATTTCTACATGTGTAAATTATGGTTTTACAACTGCTGTGTGAAAAAATAATGGTTAACATTTTTTTTCTGAGCAATTTTAAGTGTGTTGTCAAAATAAAATCTCTTCTAAAAATAAATGCATGACTTCTCTTTAAGCTTATTCCCTCACTGAGGGAGCAAGACCTGAGCATCAGTCAGTGCCTCACGCGTATTTTACTGATTTTATATGCACTAGGTACAAATATCACAGCCAGATTGTCATTTCATACCTGTAGTACTGAATTAAACATTGGCTGCGTGTTCATTAAAAAAATAGGTTGAGTTAAATCCAAGTATATTTTTTGGTTTCACAAACCCAGTGAAGAAAATTGGATGCTAGATTTCTGTATTAGAAAAGGTTCCTGCTCAGGTTACTAATGTGTGATGCTACAGTGTTCCTACCAGATAGGTGTTGGTTCCATTGGCTGCAATATACTGATCAATAAGAACAACATCTTTCTGCTCTGGTCAAATGATGGGCAAGGGGAGGACAATTTTGCAGAGACTATCAAAATACATATTCAATCATTAAAACAATCAATTTGACCTCATTACGTTTCTTGAATAAGGATTGCAGCGTGGAACTTCAGTAAGTATTAGCCCACCTTTTAATTTTAAGGGTGGAAAACTATTCCACACACAAATCACAGTATGTAACGTACATCATGTACCAAATTCTAAACAAAATATCAATGATCCTGAATGAAAAATCACTTTTGCTTAGACTTTAAAAAAATGCAGTACGCATTAATATTTTTGTACAACTTCAGCAGAAGTCATAAATAATGTAAATGTTAGACTCCAGGGGTCATTTTAAAACTATGGGATCAAACACAAAAAGGACAGATTCAATCTTCATCTTTAAAAATAATGAAGCAACAGAAAATGTAATTTTTTCTATTTCATCATATACTCATGTTTTTCATAGAACAAATAGTTATTATACAAAGATAACTGGCTTTTGGTTTTCTTGTCCTGCAAACTTAATGTCTTTCAGTCAGCATCTGTAGCGTGAAGGACTTATATTGTGAGACAATTCGATGAGTGGGAGGACTCCGACATGTTGTACGAGCTGCTGCCTCTTTGCAGTGAGATCTGTCACTGCTCAAGTGTCCTCGTGGGCCTTGTAGTCGTGTTATGTGTGTGCGTATAATTGTAGCCGCTCCACATAATCTGTCCTCCCCGTGCTGTTTTTGACACACTCCTGTCATTGTACCGCAGCATATCTACACAAGAGTGTGTCTATTTGTAATTCTGCAAAAGTGTCCTGAAAATACCCCGAGGGGGGAGGGGTTTACTCAGCAGAGCTTGATGCTGCATGCATATGTGTTAGTGTGTTTTGAAGTGCCTTGATCCTGAGATGAACTCTGTTAGCGTCGCTTGATGAGCAGCTTCCTTCGTTTAGTCTGAGCTCCAGTGAACTGAGAACACACGCTGCTTCATCAGCCAGAGCGGACCCATCCACCACCTGGACCGACACACACACACACACACACAAAGACAAGAACATATTGCTTGGAATGTGGCCAAAAGGCTTTACCAGCAAAAGCAAACCTGGTATCTGAAAAGGCATTCTTTCAAAAAGAAAAGGGACTCATTATTTGTGATCTATTATGATGTAAAATTCAACAGCACAGTAGATAATTCTAGATATGTGCTTTAAATTAAACTTCCAGGAATTGAGGTCATGCATGTGAGTTTCATAATATATTTAAATAATTACAGAGCCATTCAACATCCAAATATCAAACTGTGGTGTACATGGAATGAGAGATTTTGGATAAAAGAACCTCTAAGAATCAAAGTCTGAGTAATACTTGATGCAGAATTCAGTTCTGTCAGAAACAAACTAAGCATAAAACACCTGTTCAAAGTGTGAGTATTGTTATGCATTACAGGTTAGACGATGATATAGACGCTCTACTCTTGTTTTCACTTCCCATTATGTACTACCTCTGATGTACATCACAGATCTAAAACTAAGTGGACCTTATGGAGAGATGTTTTTGTCAAATGCTGTTTTCAAGGTCAAGAAAGAACTTGTAGTCTCAAGTATTTCTCAGTTATTTTGTAGTAGAACGAAATGTACAATGAGTCATAATATGCATCACTGTCTAACCATGAATATGGAAAAGATTTTGGAAAGAAGAAAACAGACTGTTTCCCCACCGTCTGTAAAATCTCTGTTGATCCACTCAGCGATTGTTCTGAGAAAACAGCAAGGTTGACTAAGAGGTTGAGGATCAATAATGGAGACAGGGATGGTTGCTGAGGTTGTGGTGACAGGAGAGTGACCAATGACTGCAGGCGGTCAACAGGAACCGGACGAGCTAAGACCAAGGAAAGGGAGCGTAGGTGGTCCCATGCTTCTTTGGCATGTACCTGGAAACATCGGGTCACGTGATAAATAAAGTCAACTGACAGGTGTTTATTTGAGTATCTTTCCTGCAAATAAAAAAATCAATAGATCAGTAATTCACAAATGATGAACAAAGACAACCCCGTGTGAGTTGAACGTAAGGTCGTAATGGCAGCGACGACAGCGAGTCTCCCAGGGTTATGAGAGGAGGCGGACACACAGGAGACAGAGAGACGAAACTCTGGCCAGCTGGCCAGACACTCACTGGGAAATCAATACTACATCACCCTTTTCACCCGGCTCCCCTCCCTCATCTGTATCTCTCTCTTCGCCACTGTCTCATTCTCTCCCTCTCATATAAAGGGTCATCCATAATTTATTCTTTAATGTGTTATTCTTCTTTGTATTTGTTTTATGGCTTCCAACGATGACGCACCTGCCAAAAGCAAATAACAGACCATTCACATTGTTATGTTGTTGAGTTAATGTACTGCACACGCTAAAGACAAACCATCTGAGATTATAGCCACACTACTTCCTTCTACAGTCATATCAAACTAACCTCAGAACTTCAAAACAGTGCTGTTCTTTATAATTTAGCTGCAGTTCAGCATTGTTGCTAATACAAGAGCAGCAACAAATCTTGGTGGAAAATTTACGCTTTAGGCTAAATGCTAATGCCAGCATGCTAACACACTCAAAATGACAATGCTAACATGTTGATGTTTAGCAGGTATAATGTTTACCATGTAAACCATCTTAGTTAGAATTGGGTAACATTTGGTGATTAGTGCTAGCACAAATAACAGCTGGGGCTGATGGGAATGTCAGATTTTGTATTTGTACAACTCCGGGGATGACGAAGGTCATTAGGGTTTATCATGTGGGTCCCACAAATTTCATGGCAATTCATCTAGTAGTCGTTAATGATATATATAGAGATATTTCAGTTTGCACCAAAGTGATGGACTGACACAATGCCATCCCTAGCTAAATGAAAATAATTTCTCTTTCCAGAGAAAACCTTACCAGCTGCAGTGCTCTGTGGTGCCCCCTGTTGGTGGGGTGGTGGTAGAAGGTCAGCAGCCAAAGTAGGGGTCCGCAGTCCTCAGGCCCTGCTGTCACCAGCAGCTGGACAGCCACCTGCATCCAGTGGCCACACTGGACCAGCAGGAACCAGGCCTCGAACACTCTGTGGAGCCCCCTACAGAACATGAGGAAAAACAATGCTACAGGAGGGAGCTGCTGCAACACTTTCTTCCATTGAGCATCATGGGACAAATTACACTTTTTGTCAAAGCGGTTATCTTTTTTCCCCAATTTTCAATTTCCAAGTTCGTAATGGTCAGTTACAAAAAAGCATTACACAAGTGTTGATATAAGTCTATAAGGCTAGTAGTGCTATAAACATCTTTAAAGATCTATAAATGAAGATTATTTGGGTGGTCCAATTAAAGTCCCTAAATAGCGGGCACTTAACCCATCCCAGCCTCAGTTTTCCAAGGTATGTGTGTGAATATGTATAAATTTGTCCTTTGCCAATACATGCCCCAAACTGCTGTTGTAAAACAGCAATTGCAATTGCTTAATTGTCTGCCCTAGAATTTACAATAATAATTAAAATTATTAAAAATAAAACTATAATTTAAATAAACAAACTGACATGACTACTGCTTTTTCTTTTATCACCAAGATTTTCATAAAACAATTTGGTTTCCGGTGTGCCACACAAACCCTCTAATAATGGGCTGTCTGGGGCCATTTACATCATAATAGTTTTATTAATGAGGAACAATTCTGAGTGGCTGCCAGTAATATTAGTCCCGCCCCTACTGGCAGGAACAATCAATGATCAAAGAGAGACAAAGACAGACACTGAATCTCATTTGTTCCCAGTGGTGACATGACACTGAGGGCCTGCTGGGATTGGCTCTTTCAACTGGTGATAATTCATCACATAACAATGTTTATGTTTTCATATCCCTTAAATAACATCTTAATCTACAAAATCCACATTAAATCAAGACAGGTTCAACGCAGCCTGCCAGAGAAGAATAAGGAATGGCACAACACAGGAAGTGGGATAGCAAACGGAAATATGTGACTAGAGCTTAAGATGACTAGTCAAGGTAACAACTGGTAAGTCTTTCAAGTTTTTCAAGTGAAAATGCCAAATGTGTCCTGGTCATTTGTCTGTGCATTCCATTTCCCTGTGCTGAAATTAAAAACTGAAAATAAAGGGGAAATCAGATTCTGGTTATACGCACTCCAGGTCTCTCCTTGTTTGCTCTTTGGTTGAGCGCATTGTTCGTCTGGTTCCAGCTTTGCAAATGTAAAGATTTTCTATTTCCAAATAAACAGAATATCTTTGGACTTTTGGTCGTAAAAATCAAATCATGTCCCCTTGGGCTCTGGAAAACTGTTTCAAAAAATAAAAAATGTATTGACTATTTACAGACAATTCATAAGCAGATTAATCAATAATGAAAATAACTGCTCGTCGTAGCCGTAAAAGAATAAAGGGAGACAGAGAGGAGAGAACGTGCGATGTATGCAAGATTGCAAGATAGACTAAGGCACTGTGCTCTGAGAGCTGCACCAGAGTGAAACACAGACACACAGCTGCAACAACGAGACTCTGACTTGAAGTTAAAAGAGTCATAAGGATCACTCTCTCAAATTTCCCTAATACCATCATTAGAGCTCTCTTCCTCATCTCCCCTCTTTCCCCTTGGCTCTCAAATACGAACAGCAGCATCCCCTCTGTAGGGCCCAGGCAGCTGCATCTTCGCTCAGAGCAACACAACACACTACTTTCCCACCGCTGGCTCCCAACCATGTTTTGGGAATTCTGCATGGAGCTCCAGAATGGAGCGGTGGTGGGGATAATGGGCCCCGTTAAAAAACGCAGCTGGAGGGTGTCAAAGTCAGCCGTCTCCATCCCTAGGACATCTACTGCCTTCTGCTTTTTATCTGCATCCCCATTTTTCTCTAAATCCACCCAACCAAGGCTACTCACTCCCTTTATTTCTCTAATTCATGCTAATATGGTATCTTTTCCTATACTTTCTCCCTGCGTCTCTGGTTCTTCTTCTGCATTCTTCACTTGTTTTCTCCACAGCTTCCCAAACTAATAGCCTCTAATGAGCGCTTGGAGGAGAACGCAGTGCACCAAGACCTCTCTATTGTAATGCAAGGGGATATATCTGACTAACCACCCCCTCAACAGCAGCTAATGGAAATAAGAACACCACACAGGCATTCAGTAGGGTTGTGGAAGCAGACACACATTAACACATTCTCTCTGCGAGCCTCTCTCTCTCTCTAACCTGGTGCTACTGCTGCCGTCTCCTTCTCCCTCCTCTTCCTCCTCTGTCAGTCTCTGTAATGAGCCACTGAGCCAGTTCAGATGATGTCTCCAAGCTTCCTGAGGCATCTCTGCAAGGACAGATTCACATGTAAGGATTACTTGTAGCACATTATTGTACTTTTTACAATCAATTAGTATTCATAAAATTGTAAAGAAATACTTCATTATTATGGGAAATACAGAACTGTGCAAATGTTTTAGGCAGGTATGAAAAAGTAAGAATGCTTGTAATAAATTATATTTATCAATTAACAAAATGCAAAGTGAGTGAACAGAATAAAAATTTTAATCAAATCAATATTTGGTGTGATCACCCTTGGCCTTCAAAATAGCATCAAGACTTCTAGGTACACTTGCACATAGTTTTTGAAGGAACTCAGCTGATTGGCCCAAAAATCTTGGAGAAATACCCACAGTCAATCTGTGGATTTAGGCAGCCTCAGTTGCAAGACAGACTCGATGTTGAGATGAGGGCTCTGTGGGGGCCATACCATCACTTCCAGGACCCTTTGTTCTTCTTCATGCTAAAGATAGTTCTTAATGCATTTCGCTGTATGTTTGGGGTCATTGTCATGCTACAAAATAAATTTGGTCAGTCAGACGCCTCCCTGATGGTATTGCATGATGAACAAGTACTGCTCTCCAGCCTTTTGGCAAACAAACTGCCTTCTGCTGCAGCCAAATAGTTAAAATTTTGACTTGTTAGTCCAGAGCACCTGCTGCCATTTTTCTGCACCCCAGTTCCTGTGTTTTTGTGCATAGCTGTGTCACTTGGCCTGGTTTCCATGTCAGATGTATGGCTTTTTGGCAGCAAGTCTTCCATGAAGGCCACTTCTAACCAAACTTCTCCGGACAGTGGATGGATGTACTAGGGTTCCACTGTTTTTTGCCCCTCCTGAGCTGATGGCACTGCTGGACATCTTCCGATTGCGAATGGAAGAAAGCACGATCTGCTGCTGTAAGTTCCTTTTGCATGTCACTTCCCATAACACCAAGCATGTTGTTTTTAGACAAGAGCAATTATTTTCATTATTGGTTAATTAATTTGCCAGCTATTTTCTTGATTAATCAATGGATTGTTTGGTCAATAAAATGTCAAAATATAAAAATAATGCCCATCAGTTAGTTTCCCAGAGCCCAAAGTATCACAGAAGACTAGGAAAATCAGTAACTATTCGCATTCACATAGAAGTGGGGGGGGGGGGAGCTTGTTTCAGCTTTATTTCACACTTTGGTTTCTTTACATATTAAACAACTAAGATACAAAGTGTTGACAGGTGGATTTTGTTTGCATGTGAAACAAGTTTAATGGACAACTTTCCAAATATCATGCACAAGTATTTTCCAAGCAGGACTGGACCATCTACTGTTATTACTTGCAATTACTTTTTCCTGTTTTCCAGCTATTATTTTTAACTGCTTAAAAGGGCCAGAGTGGTGTTTGTCACACGCCACATTGTTCTGTCAAAACGTTTCCTACCTGAAACCACATTTAGCACAAAAAACCCCAAAGAACTGAGACATAAGGTTGACAAACAAACTTTAACAAATATTTCAAATATATATATATCAATATATCTTGATCTGGGTTTTCCACCCCCCAGCTATGTTTTAACAATGCAATGCTAAGTCCTAATTTATTACATCGTCAGAGGAAGCACAAATCATGATAAAACCTCAAATCTTCTATTTTTCACAGTACCATTTCCATTGTCACTGATGAAAAATTGCCCTTCACCCCCCCCCACACACACACACACACACGCACGCTAGCACGCACGCACACACACCCACACACCCACACAGTAATAATTAACTCAAGAGTTCTGGCGGACCTCCAATGTGTCCCTAAATGGCCTCATTCATGTAAATCATTCCTGCCTACAGGCCAGTCTGGGCACACACTGATAAGCACTGCTCCGCTGTGCCCCTGCACTCACCTACTGCGCACCCCTACAATAGTAAAGATTCCCATACATAAACACTGGTAATACATATTCAGTATAAATTATTCAGGTTCTTATTAATAAGAACAACAAAAGTGTGTGTGTGTTTGTGTAAGATGATCAATAGTTTCACTTATTCACAATAAATGTAGTTAGGGCTATCGCAATAACCGTAAAATTGAAATACCGCGCTATTGGGTCAAGCCTACCGGTGGAGGATGGCAAGCACCGCAACCAGAGCCCTTTAAAGAGAGAGTCACGTAATCTCTGTTCACTCCAATGGACTAGTTTTTCACAAGAATGGCGGATCATGGAGCATCAAAATAGTTCCCGGAAGTCTGCATCAAATGCTAGCAGCGCAGAGCAGCTGCAATGGAAAATGCTATTTGGGATGCACGTTTATAAGGTAAGACGTGTAAAAATATTAGATTATATATTATTAGCTCAACTGAATCATGTTCACATGTGCATTAAAGCATGTGAGTGGATTTCCCCAACTAAATTAGGAGACATTAAGTTTTAGCCAAAAATGTCAACAATGTAGGTGATTGTAGCCGTCAAAAATATATTTCCTCCTTTTAAAAAAAAAATAGTAATGTAACTAAATACATGTGTCAATGTGCTGTACAAATATTGTAAATCAACGCATTTATTGTATAAATTACCATAAATCGCTGTTTTGTTGTTTCTCTCACTCATTTTCAATTGCCCGCCTAGAACTTCCGGGCACCATCTGCGGTCTCCATGAACCACGTGACGATCAAGCATTTTGGACCCCCGCTGACGCGACTCTCTCTTTAAAGAGCTCTAACATCAACAACCGCAATGTTCGTACCAGGTGTTAAATTAATAAATTAGTACTTCAAAAGTTCCACAACTATAACGATTCAAGGACCGGCCGCCATGAGCTGTAACGTTACGTGAACTGACTTGGCCAAACTTGGTTTTGTGTTTTACTGCTTATTTTAAAGGTTGGCTAACTTGGCGTTAGCATATTGCGCGGCTAATGTGACTAGCAGGCTCGGCGATGTTGGACTAACGTTGTAATCCCGGGGGACATTCGAGAGAAACTGTGAACATTAAGTCTAATTTGAAGCTCACTAACGAGCGAGCGTAGTGTGTCGGATGCCTGCAGCTGTTTTTCATGTTGCGGAAATTTATTTATAAACGTTGCTACAGCGCAGTGGTTAGTTGCGGACAGCCCATTCTGCTCCACACCGGTTGTGTGTTGGTGTGTGCGTGAGTTGCTGCGTTATGTAAATGTACTTGATAGACATGCCCTGAAGGTAACGATATAGCTAACTTCTACGTGTGAAAAAGACACGGTCAAACTACAAAAAATTGTTGACTAGCACCCAGCAGCTAGCTCGCTGCGACCATAAAGCTGCTGTTAGGGGCTCGCTGTGCAGTGAGGTGAGATCCACAGACACTCTTACTATGCTATATGGCACCAAAGTACTTCATTGATTAAAGATGCGATAAGACCGCATACAGCGATGTTGAGCCCCAACTTTTTACCGCGGGGGAAGTTACTTACCGCGACAGCCCTAGTGTAGCTTCTACAAAACAGGCAACTTATTAAAGTTCTGTATCGATTTTATGAGTAGTGACAATTTGTGAATATATAAGCTAACTTCCGTACCATACAGTATGTCAACATTTATATTTGACATAAAACACTTAATGGAGATGTTAACTAACTGTAATTGATTAGCAATACTAAGCCACACAAGAGTCCATTCACTCTGCAGCAGGAAATCTCTGTTGACACACAGTTAAAGAATATCTGAACAGACGTTTTCTCACAATACAGGGTTTTGTGCATTGAGTGAAGAGTGAATTATCCAGAAGCGCACACACACGAATGAGTGTGTGTTTGCGCACTGACCTGACGGCAGGGTCAAGAGAGGAACCAGCAGATTCTGAGGTGACTGTGGGAACAAGGCCTTCAAAGATACACTCGTCTGAAACAACACAAAGCACACATTTTGCTGAGCTTCATAAATGTAAATCATTCTTACCTTGAACTCATACATCATTGTGCTCTGAAAGCCTGAAAAATGACATTTTGAATGGGAGGCTGTGTAACGGTGATACAGTAGGTGCTAATGTGTAATGTAGCGTGTAATATGTAGCGTTTAGTGCAGTGTGACTACAGCCATTAAAACGGAGTCTGCTGTAAATACACTAACACTGCCATCTACTGGTTTATAGATGTGAAAGGAGTAAAGCTATATTCACAAAACCGTGTAGCAGGTAAGCACATCACACCTACATCGCAACAAATCTGTTTCCTGGACTTTCTACAATAATGGCTGACATGTGAGTGCCAGATAATTCCCTACAGTCACAGAGGATGTGTTGAATACTGTTGATGGAGGTCCCATTTACAACAACAGTCTCGTGTGTATCTTGAGAGAATTTGTGGATGCTGAGAGTTGTAGCAAAAGTTGAAAAGTACATAGTGACACATGGAGTAACAGCTCAGTGTGGTTTCCACACATTGCAGGTGTTTTATTTGTACAAAGTTATTACCTGCAAACTGGTGATTTAAAAGCGATTTGCATTTATTGTCTACGAGGCAGAGGTGTGAACCGCGGTGTTTGTAGCGTGTAAGAAGAGAGCTCCCGGCAGGAGATCAAGTGATAATGATGTGGAGGATTCATCAAATGGTAAGTGAATTTGCCTGTAGAGGTGTGGTAATTGTTCATCACCCTGTGTGCACGCATCCAAGCCGGAGGCATTAAAGTAACCATCCTTTTATTTCCAGCAAAGATGGTGGATAAGGATAATTGGAGATCTGTTGTTAACTTTTCAATGTGTTACAGCAGGCGATATTACCGTCTTCTGTGGCACTGAGTACTAAAATTGAATATAGGTCATTTTCAGTACTACGATAAAACCTGTAGCATATGCTGTTTGTAAGCATACTGGACTTAAATAATTTGGTTTTCATTATAATGTAGCCAAAAACACAGTGTGGTAAAGAATGGTGACAAGAAACCTTTGTAAATTTTGCAGTATAGCAGTTTCACAGTATACCATGGTATGAAAATTGATGGTTATCATTCCATGTACATTTGCTTATCCTACGGTATTACGGTGTCTGAATTTCACCTGCGGGTGCACATCTTTTTATTTATCTTCAAAAGACATTTAACACATTCTATCATTAAAAAAAGGCTTCATGTTTTGTCAGGACATGATTTATTGTGAAAGTGTTTGTTCAACCAAAAAAAATGGGGTAATTTTTACCGATAACTGTTTATACGTGAAAACCCTATGGTGAAAAGCAACCCTACCCTTTTTTTAATTGAACTGAATTTTCTTCAATTAAACAAAGATAAAACTCAAGTCATTGTTTTTGGTGCCAAGAAAGAACAATTAAAAGTCAATGATCAGCTTCAATCAATAATGTTAAAAACCGCAAACCAAGCCAGAAATCTTGGTGTAGTCATGGACTCAGACCTGAATTTAAGCAACCACATTAAGACAATTGCAAAGTCAGCCTGCTATCACCTGAAGAAACTTTCAAGGATTAAAGGACTGTCTCAGCAGGACCTGGAAAAACTTCTCCATGCATTTGTCTTCAGTCGACTCGACTAGCTGCAGCTAATTCAGAACGCTGCTGCTGGAGTCCTCACTAAGACCAAAAAAGTGGATCACATCACTCCAGTTCTGAGGTCTTTACACTGGCTTCTGTCTGCCAAAGAATTGATTTCAAAATACTGCGTTTGGTTTATAAAGCACTGGATGGTTTAGGGCCAAAATACATTTATTTTTGCTTCATTATAAACCATCTAGACCTCTCAGGTCGTCTGGGACAGGTCTGCTTTCTGTCCCCAGGGTCAAAACTAAACATGGAGAAGCAGCGTTCAGTTTTATGCTCCATTTACCAGGAACAAATTCCCACAAAACTGCAGGTGTGCTGAAACTCTCTGTTCTTTTACATCAAGACTTAAGACTTTTCTTTTTACCAATGCTTTTTAATTACATCAAATATAAGGCTGCAGATTAATATTGTACACTGCACTGTAACTTTTACTGTCCTCTTTAATCCTGTTTTAATTTTCTATTTCACCCTTTTAAAATTGTATATCAATGTCTTTTTTTAAATAATATTATAATGCTATTATATTTTATGTAAAGCACTTTGAATTGCCTTGTTGTTGATTTAAGTGACTCCTTTTTTAAAAGTAGAGCTGTAAAGATCAGTTGATTAATTAATTAGTCAATTGACATAAAATGTCTGCAACAATAAAGCAAATGCATATGTCAAGCAAAATGGAAAAAAATCCATGTTCAAGCCAAGATTTGCATTTTACATTGATAATAGATACTAGTAAGAGCCTCAATAAATAATAGTTAGAGCTAATATTGTGTACAGCATCAATGGGGTAAACGAGGAGTTGACAAATAGTGCTATCAATACAAGAAAATTGTAATGAGAAGGTGAGCACAGGAAGTGCATGATAGAGATTAGGTATTAGAATTGTTATGAGAGGAAGTGTTGCCTTATGAGATTATTTTATTTTAATGAAAATAATATTTAGTTGCAGCCCTAAAAAAAACAAATATTAATGTCAGGTTGTTGGATCTTTTGTTAAGTCAAGGCCTACCTGATGCTTCCGCAGTGCCAGTTTCCTGAGGAAGCAGTTGGTAAAGGTTCGGATAAGATACTTAACAGACTCCTTCCCTTCAGCTTGCTTAAGGATGGACCTGACACACACACACACACACACACACACACACACACACACACACACACACACACACACACACACACACACACACACACACACACACACACACACACACACACACACAGAGAGAGTTATATGTATTGTACCCTACTGCAGCACATCCACAATTTCCACAGGTCCAAATATATTACAACAACCAAAAACATAACACTCATGAGCATCACGTCAACCTCAAAAGGACAAAACCGCTCTCACCTGAAGATGTCGTTAACAACCAAGAATATGGAGTAGTGCTGAGCACAGGCTTTAGGCTGCAACACACAAAAACACAGTTTAAAAAGTCTGTAAAACCAGACACTGAAATCTTACGCCTATTCAATTCAATTCAATTTTATTTATATAGCGCCAAATCACAACAACAGTTATCTCACAGCGCTTTTCATAAAAGAGCAGGTCTAGACCGTACTCTGTGATGATATTTAAAGAAGCCCAACAGTTCCCACCAAGAGCAAGCACTAGGCGACAGAGGCAAGGAAAAACTTCCTTTTAAGAGGCAGAAACCTCGAGCAGAACCATGGCTCAGGGTGGGCGGCCATCTGCCTCGACCGGTTGGGGTGAAGGAGAGAGAGGGCAAGAGAGGAACAGAGAGAAAAGAGAGGGATGGAAGGAGAGAGAGGGGAGGGAGGCAGCCTAGACAATATACACACAGAGGTACAGACAGTAAAGGTGATGTTGCTATAGACTAAATGAAAAATGGTACAGATATTTATAGTAGTGTTAATGATAACAGTCGTAATGTTAATGATTATAATAACAATAATAACAATAGGACTAGTAACAATAGTCGTTGCAGCAGAGGGTGTCGAGCAGGAACACGGGGGCAGCAGGTGACCCGCAGCCTACAATCCAGAGAGCACAGAAAATAGTTCAAGATAACTATACGATGAGGCCTATCTGCTTCTCTTTTAACTAATTCAAGAATACATTACTATCAACTCCCAAATACTCACCACTGGGTGTCACTGTTGCATCGTCTACAAGCCTCCCTACCATAGGATCCTAGTAATACAGTCTATGGTTCCTCCCTGTTCTCACTCTCTCCCCATTAACCACTCAGTTTACCACTCTGTCAGTCCTTCCCTCACACACTCACACACACTTACTCTCTCATCTCTGCCTAATGCACACTCATCATGTGTTTTAGATTTAACACATTCTAAAACGCCCCAGCGCAAACATTTAACAGCTGTACTGTTCATATCTGCCTCCCTCTCCATGTTTATATATCTTCTAGTGCCTAATTATTCTCCCTCACACCCCCACACACTGTTATATAGGGGCATACACTTCACTATAGGGGGAGCACATGTAGTCTATCTCACAGGCCTAAATCCTGCAGTGTAATACAGAAGTAGAGATAATAAAATGGAATCAGTTATGGGCAAGCTTTATTTTAATTTGATTTACTCACAGCCAATTCAAAACTTGCCGTTTTTGTCATTAATTACAAATGTAGTAAATAATATATTACAATGATTATAATACACCAACATGTGCCAATAACCTACAACCCGGTTCCATGGAATTGTGCCAGAATAACACATCAAATACATTCTCAGTAAGGTCGGTAAGGACAAACAGACTCACCCAGTGTTGATATGGTGTCATTACATTGTTCAAACATACAAACTAAATGCTTTCACCCTCAGCTTTGACATGTCCGTTTCCTTTTTGTCCTCTCAGGCCAGAAATATAGCATTAATCACAGAAAACAGGGTCTACCTGTAACTGTTTGCAGGGGCATCCACAATACGTTGGCATACAGTTTATGTATCAGTGTGATTCTCCATATGTGGGTTGCATGCCAGCGTGCATGCATGTATATGTGCCAACTGTCATGGTTCCCCCAACGTCATCCTCCATACCTTACCACCACTAACACTTCAAGGAGGGTCAATTACAGCATGCAACAAACATCCTGTTTTTGGCAGTAAGGCCCAGGAAGTGAGTGTTTATTGTTATTGGGCCTGTGTCTCTCACTGGATCACAGGGGGGTGGGGGCCAAGCCAAAATGAGGAATGTGGGCCTAATTTCATGTTTCCCATTTTTGATTGCAGTTTAAACAAGTGAGTGAAAGGAGAGAGCGACAAGTCAGTTGGCTCAGACGCCTCTCGTTTTTTTTCCCCCTCTTGCACACATGTACGCCAACAAAGACGCGTGTGAAACGCACATCTGACGTCCAAAAAAAAGTGAAACCTAAACGTATGTCTCCCACCCTCTCAACGACAGACACGCTATACCAGATGCAATATCATAAACAAAGCACGGCGACTGGAGGCATGTGTGTGTGAGGGTTTGCATGCATGCATGTGCGTGTGAACTAGCAAGGTGATAAAAACACAGGTCATTCAGAGATGGATGAGAGGGTAAACAAAGAGATCCATGACGGGAGAGAGAAGTTAACAGTCAATGATTGCCACACACACACACACACACACACACACACACACAGTCAAACTGTTTACAGACCTCCTCTCTCTAATCTTTCTTAATTAACATATAGTGTAGGTAACGCATATACATGACCAGTGTTCCAATCTATTGTAATTTTTAAGAACAGTTCTAAACTGAAATAGTGCGCATTGCTCGCCTCTTAACGTACACAGCTCAAGTGGACCATCACTCGGAGAAAACTGGAGTGACACAACTGACAAACTTTACCTAGGTTAACATGAGGCAAAATGGCAGGTAAATTCTTGTTTCCCACCAGTGTTCAGCTGACATTTATGGCCACCAAAGGCAATGCAATCAGTAATCTAGGTAAACAGGATGCCTTTCATAACGTGCACACACAAGGTATTGTATTGCTGGGCACAGACGTTTGGCATAAACAACTTGTAGAAAACATGTCCACATAGATTAATCTACTCCCCTCCACTCTATTTTTTATGTCATGACTACTCAGCGAATAATTACTCAAGACAAGAGGTACCGTAGGTTAAGATTTTGGAAACATTCTTGCATTGTTTTGTCTGGGTTTTCTTGAATTGTCTAGTTTTTGTGACACATTCACATTTTATTTTTATCCTTGCAGCTGCGCACATTTTTCAAACATTCCAAGTTGTCCTGGTGGTCAACAGAAAAGAACACAAATCACTACTTGTCCTTTCTGACCCCACTGTAGTAATGACGAAATCAGCTAGTCATAACAATCGATAAATCAAAAATCACTTCTGACTTTTGATCTGGGATGGATCCTAAGTTAAATGAAGTGAGGCGTGGCCAAGGACTCAAGTGACAGAGAGTTCAGTACTTACCCAGCACAGTAAATGCCGTGTAGCACAAGCCAAATGATGTGAGATGCATGCAGAGCTTGCCAAATGATGTGAGATGCATGCAGATCAAGGCCAAATGGTGTAAGTTAGCCAGACAAAAACAGTCAATAAAGATCCACCAAAAAAACTATGAAACATATGAAAACATCACAACTCCATACCTCATAATAAAAATAAGCAGGCCTTACATTCAAACTGTTTGGTTTCACAGTTTACAAAGCAGTTCAAAGTCTTAACACATGGAATGTGCAGTGATTTATGATGCAAGACTATAATTCAGGGCAGATGAGTCAAACTATGTACATAACAAAACCATCTAACAGCAGCAATATGTCACCAATTTATCAACAGTCTTAAATGATGCCAATTCACGCAACAGTGAAACTGCATAAAATGCCACAGTGCAATGGCACAAGATTCTACACATTTCTCTCCAACTCTAACTGTGAAGATAAAAAACAAGGCCATCATTAGTTACGCAACAGTATCATAAGCAGATGTTTGTGGATATTAGTGGATACATTCCATACACTTTATATGTGCTCTTACGATCTGATCACAATCAGCGCTCCAAATACAGTACAGTACAGTTTACTTTGGCCTTTCGGCATGGCCGTCAAGGATTACTTCAGTGTGGTTTCCACACATCGCATACATTACTTAGTTGTTTGTAATGAGTTAAAACATATAGGTAATTTATTGCCTTGACATCAATTGAAAAAAGCTAATTTCAAGCAAAAATGCCAAACATCACAGGTTCCAGCTTCTCAAATGTGAACATTTACTCTTGTTTTCTTTTTTAAATACATGATAAACTAAATATCTTTGGGTTTTGGCCTGTTGGTTGGACAAACAATTCAAAGATGTCACCTTAGGCTCAGAGGAATTGTGATGGGCACATTTTCACAATTTTTTCACATTCATAGATTATAACATTAATCGAGAAAATCTGCTGATTATGCAGATAATAAAATCAAATGATAATAAAAATAATTGTTAGTTGCAGCCTTCAATAAGGACAGAACACATATTTTTGGCAAACCTGATAATATCTGTCACAGAATTCCATGACTTATTTTAAAGTAGTGATTTCAGTCCTCATAACAAGAAATTACCCACCAGCAGTGACTGCGCCAATTGCTGCTCTAGCTTCTGTGGTGTTGACCCTGTGTCGGTGAAAACACACTCCAGCAGACTGAGCACTGCTTCTTCCAGGCTGGACAGGTTGTGATACCACAGCGAGACTACTGCTTCCTCCTCCAGTGACTTTAAGCATTGGCTAAAAAACCCCCAAAACAAACAATCACATTGCATCACGATATGAGATATATTTCGGATACAAAAATGATTACGTTTGGACAACTTAATAGAAAAGCCTTCTGAAAACATGTTACATTAACAGGAACTCGGCACCTGTGTGTTACCCTACCTGGAGTAGGCAGAGCTCAGAGTATCCAGGAAGTCTTCATTAAGTGTTGCCCTGACACAAGTCACTGGCTGCTGCAACAGCGCACCAATGAGAGGAGCAGCCTCTGGACAAGTGACCAGGGGGACACAAGCCTCTGATGTGGCCAGTATTCTGTCACATGAACATCTGCACAGAGACATATAGACAAAAAAAGCTATGGAACTTCTCATCACTGGCCTGCAAAGATGTGTGTGCTTTGCTCCTTTCCAGACAAAAAGGTATTATTCGTGTATTTCTTTTATGATTTAAACTGAGTAGGATCCCTACCCCTAAAACAAATATAAACTCATACAAAGCTAATCCCTCTCAATCATCACTTATGATCCACTAGAAGTGTGTGGTGGTGTCTGTATCTTTGAGACCCTACCCTCTGGCTATATCTTCTTATTATTTGGCTGTGTTCGGGACATTTCTGGGTGTCAGCCTTTGGGCACCACGCAGGGTGTGAGGCTGGGACTATAAAAACATAGCGACAAGATAACTGCCGATCATCATCAATTTAGTTTTTTAAACAATTTTGAAACAAATTATTTTGACTGATACTGCAATTGCGATATGATTTACATTATTTTGTGATTTTTGCCGGGATCTGTATCGAACAAAGATGTTTTCATAAGTCTCTAGAATATGATGTGTAGGCCAGGACATCTCTGCAGCATGACAGTATTCAATTTAAAAAGGTTTTATGACACACATATCACCTTTAACAAATATTGCGCCTCCTGTTATTTGAAAATTGCAGTAGGCCGTATTGCAATTTCGATAAAATTTCAATTAATTCTTCAGCCCTATTGATTCACTGATTTGTTCTCACTGATGCCGCACCCTCTCTTCAATCTGCTGCTGGGAGGGAGGAGGCGGTGGGGGGGCCAACTTTGAATCATGTGTTTACAAACAGCAACCAACAAATCCCACTGATTATGCCTTCAAGACTTGTGTGTGGACAACATTACGTAACATTCTGCATGCTAACTATAATGGTGGGTAGTAGTTTCTACTAGAGCAGCAACAATTAGTCAATTAATCAGCAACTATTTTGTTAAGTGATTCATTGTTTAAATCTGGGCAAGGAAAATGCCTGGTTTCAGCTTTTTAAACGTGAGGATTTTCTTTCTGTGTTGTTTAACACTGTAATTGTAATATCTTTGGGTGTTGGTCTGTAGTTGGACCATAAAAAGATGTATGGAGACATCACTTTGAGCTCTGGGAAGCTGTGATGCTAATTTCTTTCTCTACATTTCATAGACCAAGCAATTAATACAGAAAAGAATCAGCAGATTCATCTATTATTGATATAATCGTTAGTTGCAGCCTTAGTTTTATGCTGTGCTGTACCCATGATTTATGTCGTCTAGAGAACTGCAGCTCTTCCCAATGTTTTCCTGCAGAAGTGCCACCATCTGAAATGCAGGAACAAGCACAATTTTCATATATGTCGACATTATTACATAAAGTATGTGTCAACGCAGGTAGGAATTAGGCAAACAACAATAAAGGGCCAGTACCTTTCTCAGGACTTTGAGATGGTACTCTTCAGGTGGTACACCCATATGCTTCATTAATGCCTGCGCTGCAGCATCGTCTTCTTCTGTAGCAAGCTGACTCAACACTTTCTGTGGGAGGGCGGGCAACACAATGTGCAGCAGATTATTGGCACTTTATATGTATATCTATAACAGAGGACGAGACTTTAATACAATCTGCCCGAACCCCAAGATCCATAACATCAAAGCTAATTAGTTGCTGGAATATAGGATGACTCTGCTGGCGTCACATCATTTGAACCACATGAGTGGAGAAAAGGCATTCCAGTAAGTGAGAATGTATGGACAGCATATGAGCAACTTCAGAAATGAGCATTTTTTGTTACAGAGGGCTTTGGTGTTTTACAAGCATTTTTCAGAAGGGGCCTCATCATACACTGATAAAACTAGGCTAATAAAATCAGCTGATTCTCATATGTGAAAAAGTTAGAATGAAGGAACAAAGAGAGTGGACACAAGACTCGTACTGTAAGTTGCGATGTTACATACTACGACTTTTTCTAGGCAGTTTCTGCTGCAAAAAGTGTTACTGAATAAAAAAATAAAGGCTGAGAAACAGACGTTCATGTCAAAACATGCCTACAGCATCCAGTGGTTGAATGATTAATAAACTGAGTGTTTGGCAAGAGTTTTGTTCATCGGTATTCACTCAGAAGTGTGGTGAAAACCCAAAGACCTATTACTTTGAATTAGGGATTGATTTAGAGTTTAGAAACAGTCCTTTCTAGTTGACCACAATAAGTTGACTCACTGGGACAAGTTGGAAAGTGTGATCCAACAGAAACAGCCAAGGTCTCACATCTTCAACACACATCTGTTTTTATAACTCCAGTGAACCAAAAACACAGAAACATCCACACACAAGTAGACTAAAAAAGTACAAATCCCTTTCAAACTGGAGATAAAAGGGGACCAGCAAGAGATGAGGGGAGAAAGAGATTGAGAGAGACATAATGTGTCAAATAAATGAAAAATAAATAAATATAAAAGGAGGACAAAAAAAGTAAAGTTGAAAAAGCAAAATCCCAGGCAGAGGAGCAGTGCTGTTGGTGGAGCTGTGTGGTTTCTTTGGCCAGGCCCTACAGCACGCTAAGATGCTTACCCTCCACATAGTCTCGCAAAACAACCCCAATCACTACCATCTGAGCGCCCACAAACCCTGCACACTGAGTACATACAAAACCAATCGCACTTATCCCACCCTTGCTATGGAGGCACAGAGGGATAGGGGATAAGAGAGGGAAGGAAGGCTGGTTAGAAGGAATGGCAGAGAGAGAGAGACTGGAACGCACTGCGATGGCTGCATTCGGAGTGAGGAAAAAACGGCCGTGGTCACCAGAGGAATGGGATGAAGGGCAAATGGATAGATGGATGGCAAATATTTTAGGTCAAAAGTCATTTGTCTCTCACAGAAAAAAAAGAGCAACTGAGCTGGCTTTGGGGGCTTGGACATGCTGCTGCCACAGAAATTATCCCTCTATAAATCTAAAATTAAAACAGAGGATGTAGAAAAATGCGCAAGGAAAAGACTTGGGTTGGTTTTGATGGGTGCCTGTCAACAATTACAAAGCCATGATTGAATTCTCCCAAAACCAATGAAAGACTCAAGTATAGCCTCAGACGGTCAAAACAGCAGAGACAAAAAGAAGTACGATGAAATGAAGGAAACAGAAAGGTCGGGATGATAATGCAAAATAATGACTTTATAAGCAATTGTGCTCAAACCTGGAGAACTGACATAGAGTGCATTAAATAAACATTTAGTTTAGGTGGAACAGTGGTCTTGCCACTCGAAAAAGTGTTTTGTTTTCCTAAATTGAAGGCCCTCTATAATGTTTTCACCATATGATTTTGTGGTACTTTGACAAACATAATTAAAGAGGTTCACTTATAAATGGAAAATGTAGTGTTTCTCACTTAATTAAGACTCAAAATACAAGTTTCACTGTTTTGTTTTTGTTTTTTTGTATAAACAACAGTGATGTAAACAAAGCTTCAACGGCACCAGAGAACATCAAACATTTAGTTTTTGACTAGTTAGTAGTTAGCATATTATAATGATTTAGGAGTGATAGCAATTTTCAATCCTGTTTTTTTTTCTTTTTTAAGACAATGGTTTTAGAGGAAGTTACACAGTGTAAGTGTTTATTAAAGAGCAACAGTTTATCCGTCCATCCAGTATCTCTGCAGCATCTACTCACAGTGATGACAAGATGCCGGGAACTTGGTGCTTACTGCTGTTGGTAGCCAAGAAATAGTTACAGCAGGTAACTCTCTCTTAAACTACACATAGTGATTTTTATGTTTCTGTTTGTGTGTGAAGAGATGAGAAACAATCATATTTCCCCAAATAATACTTTAACTTAAAGGAATAAATATAAATAATAATTTCAGTAGTTCAGATTTACTAAAAGGGGGATGCCACCCAAGAGGAAAAACAGAGAGATAGAGGGGAAATACTGTCACAAACACACTTTCATTCCCAAATTAAAACATCCAAAAGGATAAAGGATCCAAAAGGTTTTAAAACTATAAAGCAACCACAGTGGCTCCGGGGCCAACCTGTGGTTCACCGTATTTGAGTCAGTAAAGATACATGTCAAAGATTAAGCTATTAAACCATCCACCTTCCAGCCCTCTAATATTACACTCTCTCATGCTTTACTTATCTGTCATCTCCTTAAAGATCACGCCATGTTACTGCAGCACTGTGTGGTCCCTCTGCTTGTACAGGATGTAGACAAAAGACCAACTGAGCTAATGACTATCTGACATAGCCTGCAGCTATGTGGCTGTACCCAGTATTCATGAAACCCAGTGAGAAAACTTAGATGTGGAAAAGAGAGGCAGTCAGGAAGGGGTGAGGGGAATACATGAGGGAGAAAAGGCAAAATACTCTGCACACTATCATAATTTAAAGAGTGGCTACAAATAGTACATACAGTAGCAGTAAAACACATGTTTTTTGCACAATTACTCATAAACATATGCAAGCACATACACAAACTTACACATACACAGGATTTAGGTGCCACTTAGCGCCAGACCCTCAGTCTATTATGAAGGCAGCAAGAAAACAATGTTGGGGAGCAAGATCAGACAGGGCTAACAGAAAACAGGCTGCATTCTGCATTCCAGGACAGGCAGTCCAACACAACACAGACACAGGGCGAGACACAGAGACAGACCATCTCTGGCCTAAAACCATACATCTGCCCTGCTCCCTCAGACGGGATGAGTTGCGGTAAATAGGTTTTTTTTGTGCTTCCCGCCATTCCTGTCATTTGTGGGGAGTGGAAGTTCCTTTGGAGAAGAAGAGAAGGAGAATGAGGGGAAGCTGCAGAGTTGGTTATGAGTTTATTGTACTTGTGCTCTTTGTACGCCTTCATCCGGTAGTGCCCTGCATGCAATTTTAGTAAGAGCGGACCCAGTGAACCCTTAAAGTCTGGTTGCCAGTGTTGTGCCTAAAGCATTCATCTACAATTAACCACTTTCTCACTCTGAACCTAAAAATATTTAAAATGTTTATTAACGATGAATGTTGTTTGAGTTTCACCTATATATTTCCAACTGCACTACCTGTACGTACAACCGCTGCAACTGCAAATATGCAATATCACGCCTGCTAACAATACGTTATTGTACTGTTTTGTTTCATATCTATTGTTTTACAGATTTAGTAATCTACACACTATATATATGATTTATTTTTATATTCACAGCCTTAATTTAGTTTTGCTCAAAATCTTTATATATTTAAAATTTGTTGTCATGTTTGTTTTATTTATTATGTTGGAATGCACCGTGTGTGTATGTGTGTATATATACACACACACACACACTATATATAT